GAGAAAAATTGAAACGTAAAAATTACAATTTGGTAATTTTATAATGTCGTTGTAGATTTGGTAAATTTGGTGGTATTAAAAAGTAATACCGCGAGTTTTTGTTTCAAGTATAGTACAAAGAAAGGTGAAACGAAGAACGAAAGTAGATTCGCCAGATAGTGTTCATTGTGCTCTGGAGTGAGAATATTGTTGAGATTACAGGAAGTAAAACTTCGGGAGCGTTTATGGGAGCTGAAGCTTTCCAGGATTTCGAGTAATTTAGCGAGTAGGATTTTACGACTGTCTCTTGCACTCTTCGGTTAGATTTGCACAATGCAGTTCGGGTTTGCATAGTCTTCCTTTGCAGAAGTAGTGCTTTTATCATCGTCGAGCTCAAGAAAGTATTATCCATAGAGTTTAGTCAAATTTAAGGAGAGATATTATTTAATATTAATTTCCAAGAGTTTCATTTCTCTTAATATTCTTATTAATGCAATAAAATTTTCTAATAATGTAATGAGTATAATTTTGTAAAATATAATATAATGGACATAATATTATATAATACAACATCATACAATGCACTATAATAAAATACAGTATAATATAATATAATAGAATACAGTATAATATAATAGTATACAATATAACATAATACAATACAATATGATATAACACAACACAATATTTTTATATATAATATAATACAATACAATACAACATCACACAATATGCTACAATATAATATGATAGAATACAATATAATATCATATTATACAATATTATAATATATAACACAATACAATATTATAATATATAATATAATATAATATTATACAATATACTGCAATATAATATAATATAACATCATACAATATAATACAATATAATATAATGACACCATATAATATACTACAATATAATATAATAGAATACAATATAATATCATACAATACAATATTTTTATATATAATATAACATAACATCATACAATATACTACAATATAACATCATACAATATAATACAATATAATATAATGACATCATATAATATACTACAATATAATATAATAGAATACAATATAATATCATACAATACAATATTTTTATATATAATATAACATAACATCATACAATATACTACAATATAATATAATAGAATACAATATAACATCATACAATATACTACAATATAATATAATATGATATTATACAATATACTACAATATAATAGAATACAATATAATATACAATATACTACAATATAATAGAATACAATATATCATATAATAGAATATAATACAATACAATACGACCAATATTTTTATATATCTCGAAGAGGATGACTTCATGGATTTTGATGCATATACAATAATCCTTAATAAATGTAACTCAAATCTAATTCAAACACTATATCGATATCTTTAATTAATTCAAACATATTCCAATATAATATACAGAGTGATAAAAATATGTTTACGAATATTTCAGAAAGTAAAGTCGAGCGGCAGTAACAAATATAATCGTGAAAATCGTCTTAACAATATATTTCGACGACCATCGAAATCCGTGAGGTTGTCTACTTTGTAAATAATTTTCAACATTAATATTTTTCTAGTAGGATACAATGATTCTCTTCCTATACTTAAGTAAATCCATCATCTCTTTGTATCAAGACTATTAAGAATCTTGTTTCGTTGAACGATTGAAAATAATATAAATAAAATATTGCGAATAGGTATTCCAGAACCAGGTGCGGTTATAGTCAGAGCCGAAGAGGCATTGATAGTTATTCTGGTTCTTCTTCTTTGGGCTGCGGCAATCGCGTTGTTCTTCAATCGATGGGGCAAGATCAGGATGCTGGAGCCGTATCAACCGAAATTTCAACAGCAACACAGACAAAGCTGTACCACGATCGAACAAAATCAACTCCAGGTAATACATACTATGTATATATATTTTACTTGAAGATATTCTTCGAGATTATTTAGATGAAAAATATTTATTTCGAATATTAATTTCAAACTCACGGTTCAGAATATATTTTTATTTGAAATAATAAATGAAAAGATATAAAAAAAAAATGAGCTATAATATATGATTATTTTTAATTGTTTAATTTTTTCTTATTATCGATTTGATTAAAATCTTCTCTATTTCGTACAAATATTATTATTGTACATAATATACATTGTATATAATTGCAATTAATTAACGTAATTAATTAATTATTATAATATTGCTACGACTTATTTGTTACTGAGAAATTGCAGTATTTCATTTGAGCATTTAACTTAAGAAAGCAACAATAGTAAACAAAAATATAATTTTACCAAATAATTTTACATCACTATAATTCTCAGCCCTTTATGTTTCATACATTATAATGATTAGTGCAATGTTACATTAGTATTATACATGTTATTACAATTCGCATGATGAATAATATTCAACATATATTTGATAATATTTTAAACTAAATATTATAATGATTTTGATCTCACATACGTAATGTTCAACATCTGGAGAATTTCATTCAATAATAATTTAGAAATACTTTTAACTAACAAAATTCATTTACACTACGATTAAGTAAATATTTATAATAACGAAAATAGAGGAATTTTCGAGTTCCATTTCAGGGAAAGAAATTTCCAGGAGAAAGAATCGATCGCCATTGGTTTGTGAAACCAATCGTCTGCAGAACGTATTATTATCAAATTTTCATTTTCTGATAACCCATTCACAAGCAAATACCTTGCCATACAGAGCACAAAATTATCCGTGTCGTCCCAGTTCCAGTAACACGCCTTTATGACCAATACGCGAATATTATGCCGCGCGAGGCCAATGGTTTTAGCTTGCTATGTGAAACGGATCGTCTGCAGACGAACCGGATTATGACTGAAGAGAGATACATTATCGATCAAAAGCTTGAATACACGTTCCCTATATATGTGAATACGTGTGCGAAATGCATAGGAATTTTGCAAATTATCAGAAGCATCTTTGATATCAACTTTGGATTCCCTTGCTTGGAGTATTTCACGCATAAAGGAAATGAACATACCTATCTATAATTGCATACATTAGTATATTATATATATTGTACGTCTTATGTACATTATATACAATATTATATATGTACTATAATATTATATATTGTATATGGAAAATATTGTATTGAGTATGAGAAATTAACATATCTGTAATTGTATTAATATATTGTATATTGCATATATTGTAGGTGTTAATATATGTTATATATATAATATATATCATATACTGGATATAGTATCATGTATAAATATATATGCAATGTTATATTAATTTATATGTAATATTATATATTATGTAATATATATACTATAGAAAGTGAATATATCTTTAATTTTATAATTCATTGTATATATTGCATACGCATTATATACACATATATAAAAAAGGAACGTATCTATAATTGAATTAGTACATTATATATACTAATATTAATAATATTAATTAATTATAGTAATATTATATGTTGTGTAATATATATACTATAGAAAGTGAA